TATATAAAAATATATATATAAGCATATAAATAGTTTGAAGTATTTTTTTCTAGTGCTTAACTGTCTTTTCTCAAGTTTCCTCCTTGTTTTTCCTCTTCTTTTCACAAAGCTTTATAGAGTCTTTTCTGTGCTTCCTAGTTCAGGTTTTATGGTATAATAAGGAATAATTTAGGGGCATAACATGGGTTTGACACCAATAGATTGACATCACTTAAAGCTGTGATTCCTATCCCAATTTTCAGGGAAAAATAATCAGTAATTTAGGGGGATAACATGGGTTTGATACCAATAGGTTGGCATCACTTAAAGCTGTGCTTCCTGTCCCAGTTTCCCTAGAAAAATAAGGAATAATTTAGGAGGATAACATGGGTTTGACACCAATAGGTTGGCACCACTTAAAGATGTGATTTCTATCCCACTTTTCCTGAAAAAAATAAGGAATAAATTAAGGAGATAACATGGGTTTGACAGCAAAACATGGAGTTAATTTTCCTAGGAATGGAGGAAGAAGCTTTTCAAGACAATTTTTTAGATGCTAAATCCTCTTCTACTCTAACTTGATTCTGGTAACTCTGCACAGACCTTGGAGTGAAAATCCCTCCAAATTCTCATGTAACCACTCAGCTCTTTACTACCACCCTGAAATGACACTGCACTGTGGGAATGTGTTGATTTAAGTGCTAAACTTGCAAATAAACTCCTTTTTTTTTTCCTTGCAGATGATCAGTGCAGAAGCTCCTGTGCTGTTTGCCAAGGCTGCTCAGATATTCATAACAGAACTGACCCTCCGAGCTTGGATCCACACAGAGGACAACAAGAGAAGGACTTTGCAGGTGAAGGAGCTACTCCTGCCCACCCTCAGCTGCTCCAGAACCTTCTCCCAGCTCCTTGTTTCCATAACATGAGGCTTGTTTTGGGATATTCCCTCAGTACCTGTGGCCAAAACTCAGTGGAAATGTGCAACTTGAGAGGCTTTTTCTCTTAGTTGGGTTTAAACCCCTCCAAATCTGCAGCTGTCAGCTCATTGTGACTTGTTGTCAGCTCATTATGACTTGCTGTCAGCTAATTATGACTTGTTTAATGACTCAAGAGAGCTGTAGCTGTTCACGTCTGGCTGCGTTGGTTACATTAGTAGTTTTGGTTAAGCTTGAGGATGTTTTTGCTAAAGGTATGGAGATGAAAAGCCAAAAATGTTCCTTCAGAACAAATTCTTGTCTCTTCTGGATGGAGAGACCCTCAATAATAGTCTTTTTTTTTTGTGGTTGAATAGTAAACTGTCACTTTTTAGGGCCTATTTTAAGGAGAAAAAGAACAGGTTTTCACTTTTAGTCTTACACGTTGCCCAGAACTGCTTGAAACTATAACAACCATCAGTTCAGTCCTTCAGATCAGAGGATGTTGGGATGTTTAGGTCCATGTGAGCTCTCCTGTAGCCTGGAGCAGGAATTGCTGAGGCAGCAAGGAGGCATGGATGGTTTCAGTCCAAAAATTCCCTGTGGAATGGGCACTCAGACACTCATCTCCATCAAATTGGGCTAATGCTCCTCCTTAACCCAAATTTGCTGCATTTCCTGTGGGAAGAAGTGTTGGCTGTACATTCCATGAGCAAGATGCTGTCTCAGGCATGGCTTGGAGGGAGCCATTTCTTCCAGAATCCTCCTAAAATCCCATTCCTGGTGTGTGAACTGAGTCAGGTTGTGTTTGTGCCTGCCTTGCCTTGCACAGCAGCTGCTGTTCCACCCTCCTGGAGCAGCTGCTCCACACATGGACGGTGCAGCTGGAGAAAGGAACTCTGTGCTTAGCAAGGAATTTGGGATGAGTTTTTTTTTTCAGGGCAGAGATCTGAGTTTGGGAAGTCTATTCCTGAGGAAATTGGAGTGAGGCCAATGCTGCTCATCATGGGGAGTGAAATACAAGATACATCTGTTCACTCAGTTTTCTTCCTGGGGAAGAGACACAGAATCTGTCAGCAAAAAAAAAAAAATAATAAAATGGGTTTTATCCATGAGTTTTATGTTTTTTCCATGATATGCCAAGACACTTTAAGGTTTAAAACTGCCAACTAGCCTGGAATGAGAGGATTGAGAGTCTTTTATATGTCACCTGCTCATTAGGCCTCACATTTCAAATCTGGCCATACAGAGCTTTACAAATTCCTCTTCAGCTGATGAGAATGAGACTTTCACAGCTTCTTGCCTCAGCTCTGCTCGCTCAGATGGTTTTCACCTTCTTGCTCATCTTGTAGGCTTTGCTCAAGCACAAGACACTGTTCTGGTACCAAAACACAAGTTCTCACCACCTGGAGAAGCCAATTCTCATTCGCCTCAGTTGTCAAACGCTCTTAGGTTTGTTTACCCAGTGACAAAAGAGACTTGTGGAGCTGAAGGATTGTTTTCTCTTTGCTGTTGCAGAGGAATGACATTGCCATGGCCATCACCAAGTTTGACCAGTTTGACTTTCTCATTGACATTGTTCCAAGGGATGAGCTGAAGCCTCCAAAGAGACAGGTGAGACCTAAGTGGTTGAATTGTTGTCTTTCCCTCGAGGTGAGCTCTGACAGAGCAATGCAGAATCCCATCTAAACATGAGGTTTGTCTCTCTCTCTTTTCCACATTGATTTACTGTAGTTTTTAGGTCCTTAAATTGGGTTTTTTTGAGGGGAATAGATGGAGCAGGAGTGATTTACAGGAGTCTGACTTGGGGTTAATGAACCTTTAAACGTGCTGAGGTGCATCCTTGGAGTTGTAAAGGGAAAAACAGAGTCTTGGGCTTGGAATTACCCCTCCTGCATCCTTTGGGGCAGTCAGTGCTACTGTAAACATCCTTGACTGGAAGCTGGAAGGTGCTGGAAGGAGCTTTCAGTCGGATGTTTACAGCAGCAGGCTGCTGCACTCAGCTGGCTCAGGCCTTGGGAAGCACTTCAGGAATTGCTCATCTCTTTTTTTTTTTTTCCTTATAGCCTGATAGGTAAAAAAAGTCAGAGCTCCCATCAGGGCATCTCTTCCAGGGAACAGCTCTGTCTGGATAGTGCTGCTCCTTGTTCAACAGCTCACCCAGCGATTAAAGTGTTCCAACAGCTCCTTGAGCTGCTTTGCTGAAGGTTTGCAGTGTTTAAGCTTTGGAAAAATCCAAGGTGATCCTTAAAACAGCCTCACCAGGGAGGTTGGTGCTGTAAAACATCTCCTGGCAAGGATTTGACTTGGAGTTTTGTCTTTGACGTGGGTTTTTTGTGTGTATTCCAGTAGGAGTCTGGGATAAGATGCAGAACAAGATTTGCTCTGGGTGTGTACACCTATGTTCCCATTGGGGAAATGGATTTTGGGAGCTGCTCTTTCACTCTCTGAAGTCTTCATGGTGTTGCTGAAGTGATGGCTAAAGGGAACACACACCTTATCCTTTGGGATGATGTCCTGAGCTGAGTTTAACTCACTTTCTGTCTGCCAGGAGCAGCACAGCCAATAATTCCTCCTGTGCTGAGATAACAGGCAGTGATGGAATTTACTGATGAGGATTTCAGCTATGGTCATGGTCCTCATTTGCTTCTCCTGATAAAATTGGTGACTCCATGATCACCCAGAGTGTATTGGGAATGGGTTTGATTTCTACAGAGCTAAATAAATAAGGAAATATTTGAATTTATCAATTCAGATTCACTTCAGCTGTTCCAAACAAGGTACTAAAGGTAGTTCCTCATGGACGTGGTTAGAGGAGATGTCTCAGGGAAGGTTTTCCTGCTGTTCCCTCCCCATGTCACATCTTAATGACCTTTCCATGTCACAACTGCAGGGACAGCCAGCAGCATCCCAAGGCCTTGGATACAGGTGTGCTGGGAGCTCTGGAGCTCTGCATTCTGCTGGTTTACCCCAATCTCATTAGTTTGGTGCTAACTAAAAGACAGAGCAACCTGCACAGCTGTTTTTAATGCTTTGCTTCGTGGGGCAAAGCAAAGTGAAATTTCTTTTTAAGCTGAAACAATGGACAAGTTCATTGTGGCCTTGGAAATTTGAGTTGTTTTTCCTCCAGGTGCCTCATTCAGTTGGGAGGGAGAACATTGCCAGTGTCTTCTCCTTTTGATTCACATCAGAATGTTCTGATTACAGCACATCCAAGTTCTGTAATCAGAGGAACTCCTGAAGTACCTCAGGAGTGTGTTGGCTGCATCCAGGGTAATGCAGAGCTGCATGGGTTGGATTGCAAATCAGCAACCATGAAATCCTGGGAGGTTTTTTTGGTTTGAAACAGGCTTGAGATCTGTGTCTCACTGATGTGTTGAACCACCAGAAACACTCCATCCAGCAGGAGAAGTTTCCTGGAGGAAGAGCTGCCCCACAGGGATGCAGGTTAGATGCTTTGCAGAGGAGAATGTGTTGAGAAGTGGCTCCTGAGCTGCTTGGATTTGGCTGGGGGGACAACCTGTGCTTTGTGTCTCCCTCAGCAAACACTGTTTGGCAAGTCAGTGTTGGTTCCATGGAAGAGCTGGGGATGGGAATGGATCCCTGATGTTGCTCTGGTAACTGCAGCTGTGGCTGGGAAATAAAGGATGGCAAAGAGTGGGACAGGACAGAGCTGAAGCAGGTTGGGATTTAAAGCCATTTCTGCCTGCAGCAAATGCAACTGAACCTGGAAGAGATGCTTAGAGAAGTCCTCTCCGTTGCCTTCATTATTTTGGGGATTCAGCTAGGAATTGAGGATTGGAGCACTCCAGAAATAACCTGCCTAAGGACTGGGCTTGGAGCTCAGTCACAGCTCCTCAGTGGTTTGATGGTTCCCTGGAGACATGCCCTGGTGAACAGACATGTAAATTTGTTGTTAATCCCTCCCCAAGGGACTCGGTGAAGTGAGGAGGAGGAATCAGTGAGCTGGAGGAGGAGGAGGTGGTGGCTGCAGGGGTTTGCTCACCGTGGGATCCTGTTGATGGCCTGGGAGCCAAGCTGAGAAGTTGTGCTGCTTTGCAGCAGCTCTGATCATCTTTTGGGGAGTGATTTTCTGGAGAGAAACCTCCCAGCAGTGAGGCTTTAGTGGCTCTCCCTCTCAAAAACCAGCAGCTAAGTGAAGAAAGGTCTCTTCTACTCCAGCCCAGTGCCCACACAGACATCACCCAGTGCTCTCATTTAATGTGAGTGTCCTGTTGTCTCTCCTGAAGGGAATCCCTGGGTGTGAATACCATCCTCAGGTGATGAGGGGAGTCCAACAGGCTGTGGCCAGTGCAATCTTACCATGTTGTAGCACGTGTAAACATCCTACACTCTCAGCTGTGAACTCGAGGTGGCTGGGAGAGGATTGTTTACGCCTTCTGCCATGGAGTCAACGTCTGGAGCTGCAGCTTCCCCTCAGGTGCAAGATCCAGCTGCTCTGGGGGAGCTTGAGGGTTCTGAGTTTTGAGTGTTAACCACTTGCCACTGCCATAATCCCTGAGAATCGACTTGTGGGCCTGAAATCTCAGGAATCAGGAAGGATTTTTCCCTCCTGAAGATGTGCTGAGATAACCCAAAGCTGCAGCCTGTGGTGCTGACACTGAGCTAGAGCAGA